CCGACCATGTCGTGCTGGTCCCATGCAAGTCGGTGCAAGAGGCATCTGTGACTGGATTGTGTTGCTGTTCCACTGGACTCATTCTTGTTAAAGTTTCCAGATGTGTCTGTGACCCCCAGTGTGGTTACGGTTGGACCTGGCAGGTCCGGTGTGGTAGTTGTGTTGGAGAATCACTCTGACTACCCGGTACAAATTGCTAAAGATGTTGATATTGCAGAATTATCTCCTGTACCCGATAACTTGATTGGAGAGGATGATGATCCTGCTGATTCATCTGTTGCGGATATTAGGGCTCAAACGGTCACGGTTTTACCCCTAACGGTTAACCACTAAGCTAACGGTCGGTTTAACGGTTATAACCTATAAGCCACGGCAATCCTGCGGACTCTTTTTTAACCGTATATTTGACTATACTCTTTAAAAAAATGTACCCTATTCAGTACAACGCACACATGTACATTCTCTTGCATGCTCATTCATACATACTCTCACACCAAGACTGCAGATATGACCGAGTTGACAGCCCAGAAATTGTGTAGGTCTACGCGTGTAACAGCCTGCGAAAGTGCATACTTTGCAACGACCTGATACTTGACAAATTGACTGAAAAGTTACTGCGTAAGGCCAAACTAAAGAAGGTGTGTGGTTCGACTAACATGGACATTTTTTTTACGGGCGGGCGGGCGGATTTTTTTTTTTTAATATATTTTTTAGTACATGTAAATACACTGTATACGCGTATCGAGTAGACTCTACTACCAGCACAAGGCAGCAGTCGTACCACTCACTGCACTGCACTGCAGTACAACTACAAGTCAAGTCCAAAAGGAGCCGCCTGCGTCCGCAGACTCACGCCGCACAGCACGTAGACGTGGACGTGTTCAGTCCACGTACGTCAGTCACACGACAGTAGGCCTTGACAGATTATGCTAGCATAATTTTTCGCATAATTCCTACCAAAATCGAATAATCGCATAATTCGAGGCAAATTGCATACGAATCGCATAAAATTGGAATAATCTGCCTGTTCGGATCAAATTTCATACAGTTGTACATGTTCTACAACAAGTACAAGTACAAGTAGATGCACCAGAAAGTCGTAGGATTACGACTCCCTTGATAACATGTCCAGTCCACTACAATCAGTGATGGTCGTAGCTAGGTCGGACGGTGCGTTGACCCCCTTGAACTTTTGCCACGACAGTACAACGCCCTCTACAAAAAACTTCCCCTGTTATTTTGCATTTTGCACAGAACCATTAAGCGGGATTCACAGAAGCTTTTTTGTGATGCGACACGCGATGCGACAGGCGCGAAACCGGGAAAACCCCAAATCGCAGCCATGTCGCGGCCCACGCAACTGCCGCAACTGGGCCATCGCAGAAGTTGAGCTTGGCTCAACTTTTGCGATGCGATGCGATGCGACAAGCGATTTGGTGTACGATTTTGACCTTTTCTACAGCAAAGTTGTACAAAGGTGCAAGAGTTGCCTATACATTTTTACAAGTTGTGTCAAACCGCGCGAATATCATGGTGACGTACCCGAATCAGCAAAACTTTGTCGCATCGCTGACTTCTTCTGTGAATGGTATTTCGCGAGTTCGCATCGCACGCATCCATCGCAGATCGCGTCGCATCGCGTGTCGCATCGCAAAAAAGCTTCTGTGAATCCCGCTTTATACATTAGCAGCATATATATGAGCATAATGCGGCATAATATGATAACTTTTAGCATAAAAATAGCATAATTCTGCAATTTTTTCAGCAATGCGAAAAGCATAATTTCACGAAAATATTAGCATAATCTGTCAAGGCCTACACGACAGCCCGCCGAAAAAAAGTTACGGTCGGGCTGAAATTGTACGGTCGGTCGGGTGAGTCGAACCACACACCTTCTTTAGTTTGGCCTAACCCTTATCTTTATCGGTTAACCGTTAATTCTTCTTAACCAGTCTGCAACCGGTTAATCGGACTAACCGCTTGAGCCCTAGCGGATATGCAACCGTTTGTGTTATCCCCTAAACGTGCCGAGATAATCCGTACGTATGTTGAGTCTCGGAATCACCTGCCAATACCTGAAAAGAACAGACTGACAGAGCTTCTCCGTGAGAATCATGACTTGTTTCTCTTGCAGGAGGGTGATTTTGGTCCTTGTGATGTTTTGCCAAGTAGTAGTAGTGCTGGTGATGTACAGCCAGTTAAACAGCCTACGCGCGCTTTGCAAGCTTTGCTAGATGATCTGTTGTCCCGTGGTATACTCGCCGAGTCCATTAGACGCTGGGCGTCGCCCATAGTTCTCATTCCCATGAAGGGGGACGGATCTCTCCGATTATGTATCGACTACCGTAAGTTGAACAGTATTGCGGAGCCAGATGCGTATCCTATCCCACGTGTTGATGACATATTGGACTCACTCTCTGGCTGTTCATGGTTCACTTGCCTGGATTTAGCGTCAGCCCAGGATATTGCCAGGTTCCTAAGCACGAGGACCATACGGCAAAGACTGCCGTTACGACACTGTTGGGTTTGTGTGATTTCTTGATTGTGTCTGGCTGTAGAAATGGTCCAGCGACGATCCACCGTGTAATGGAAGCAGTGCTTCATGGTTTATGTAGTGTGCCTACCCATCCATTTTGTCAAGTATTCTTCAACAGTATATTGAATGCCAGCTCTACCTTCATTGGACAGCTCCAGATCCTGCAGTCTGTATTTGGCCGGGTTCGTACTGCTGGACTAAAGGTAAACTTGGAAAAATGTTCTTTTTTCCAACGGAAGGTGCTCTTCCTTGGCTATGAAGTTTCGGCTGAAGGTTCGGCTCCGGATCCCACCAGGGTTGAGGCTATTGTGAAGTGGGCCGTACCCCAGTCTGTACGAGGTGTCAGGTGTTTCTGGAGTACGCCGGGTTTTACCGCCGCCTCATCCGTGGTTTTGCTCAGCGCTCCACTCCACTGAATGTATTAGCAGGCAAGGGTGCCAGCTTTACACGGACTAAGAGTAGTGATGCGGTGTTGACGTCTATGAAGCGGTCACTGACCAAAGCCCCAGTGTTAGCATATCCTGACTTTTCTGTCTTGTTTGACAGCTTTGTTCTAGATACTAATGCAGGGGCGTCGGAAGGAGGTAGAAAGTGGTACGGCTCGACAGTGAGAGTGAGTCCGAAGGAAACTTGCCCCGGGTTTTTTTTTCAAAAAACACTCAAAATACCCCTCTCAGAGGGTCTCCAAAGATCTACGAGTCATGACACATACATGCCATGCAGTTCCGTAGTCGACAGCCTAGTCACGCAATACACGGAACAGTGACCTGACTGGTGCACCGGTGACGGATCGCGCCCCGCTCACAATCACGCGTGGTCATGTACAAACTCGATCCCCCCCCCCCCCCTCATTTTTTTTACACCGGATTTGGACGTTCCGCGTGGACCACCGGGAGCCAAAAGTGGTACGGCTCGAGCCAAACCAGTCGTACCGCCTCCGACGCCCTTGTAATGCAAGCAAGGTGGCCATTGGAGCTGTCCTCAGTCAAATTCAAGATGGCGAGGAACACCCCATTGCCTTTGGCAGCCGGGTATTGACGAAGGTAGAGAGGAACTACGATGCGTCAGACCGGGAAACACTTGCCCTTGTGCATTTTGCCAATCAGTTCCGGCACTATTTACTCGGTCGGAATTTCATTGCCTGTACCGATAACACTGCCCTCACGGCGTTGTTGTCCGTTAAGGAACCACGCGGTCGCAAAGCTCGGTGGGTGGAGCAACTCTCGGAGTATAGCTTCACTGCTGTTCACCGGCCGGGTCGGCAGTACTTGAGTCAAGATGGTCTGTTACGTACCTTGTTGCCGGAGGCGCATCGATCCCATCTCGAGACTTTTGCAGATAAGCCGGAGCAAGCCAGTTCCCTTGCCGCAATGGCATCTGTGTATGTCGTAACTCCTGTAGTAGCTGGCCTCTCCGCCACTGAGTTGGCTGCTGCCAAAGCTGTGTATGTCGACCTCACAGTGGTTTTGCCCAGGTACAATGCGGTGAGTGGAAAATTTGTTCGCCCTCCCGAAGGTTTCTGGCACTAGTCGTAGCATGCGTTTGTTCTCGGCTAATGCAGTTGGATCAGAAGGAACATTCGGTTCGCGTCTGATGCCTCACGGTGCTTACTGTGCAAGCCCTCGACCATGACCCTATTTGTTGTCCGCTGTCGTCAGAGCCCATCTCGCTCGCAATCCTGGACTGCCTGCTCGGTTTACTGATTTTGCTATGTCCTGAGTTTTTTTTATTTTTTATGTTTCTGTTTTCTTTCTCTATTCACGAGGGCGTGAATTATTGGTAGGAGGAGGATAGTGTAGCATGGCTACTTTATGACACGTAATTTGTATACACATAAATAGTACACCATAGCTGGAATGCATGGATAGCTGTGCGCATACTCGCACTGCCTTGGTCTTCTTCTTCTCCTTGTGAGACAATGAACGAATGATAACTACTTATGTAACTACAAGTATGTGCTTTGAGTGCTGAGAGTATACGGTTACAGTCGACCTACACTTATAACGATATTTGCGTCAGACCAAGAAATGTTGTTATAAGGGTAATATTGTTATAGGGGTAACTGGTTCATTTCATACACATACGTCATAATGCATGTATTCTGTTCATTTTTTACACTCTTCGTAGCATAAAAAACTGATGTACATGCACATTATGTACACAGCAAGGTGCCCACTGGTGCCCCCACTGCATTTCGTCATGTCCCAGCGACTTATCAAGTGAAGCTTGCCCTACCTGGATAGTGGCCTCTACATATTCCCTGCTAGATATTGTTATAAAATGGAAAATGTCGATTGGTCAGCCCATTTTATATCGTTATAGGGGTAATATCGTTATAGCAATATTGTTATAGAGGTAAGGCATTGTATACACAAGTCAATGGAGTGATTTGGTTTGGCAGAAAAATATCGTTATAAGGGTAATATCGTTATAGAGGTTATCGTTCTAAGGGTAGGTCGACTGTACATGTGTGTGTGTGTGTGTGTGTGTGTGTGTGTGTGTGTGTGTGTGTGTGTGTGTGTGTGTGTGTGTGTGTGTGTGTGTGTGTGTGTGTGTGTGTGTGTGTGTGTGTGTGTGTGTGTGTGTGTGTGTGTGTGTGTGTGTGTGTGTGTGTGTGTGTGTGTGTGTGTGTGTGTGATGTCTAGGTCATGTCGGCAGGATGGACGACTCGTGCGCACCGAAACAATTGCTGGCGAGCTGCCTGCCCACCCCCCCCCCCCCCCCCCCCCCCCCATCCTCGTCACGGCCCGAAGAAGAGGTGGCGAGATGCGGTGTCGACTGACCTGGCAGACCTCGGCGTGACCACCTGGCTTGAGAGTTGCCAAGATCGTCCCGGCTGGAGACGAGTTGTGAGTAGCACTCCACCGCCATGGCACGCTCCTGATCCTCTTCTCTTTGTCTGTGACGCCCATTTTGTCCACCCAGAGACCTGAAACGACATGCCAAAATCTGAGCTCGTGTTCTCGCTTAAGCTTTCTGACATTCGCTATCATTGCGTACGCAATGGGGAAGATCAAGGTCAAGGTCAAGGTGTGTGATGCTATTGTTGAAGTTTATTTAAATTTCTTTTGTGTGAGTAGCGTATACATGTATATGTCTTTGTGTTGGTGTTAGTGTGTGCGTGTCAACGTGTGCACGGCATGTGTGTGTGTCTTTGTGTTGGTGTTAGTGTGTGCGTGTCAACGTGTGCACGGCATGTGTGTGTGTCTTTGTGTTGGTGTTAGTGTGTGCGTGTCAACGTGTGCACGGCATGTGTGTGTGTCAACGTGTGCACGGCATGTGTGCGTGTCAACGTGTGCACGGCATGTGTGCGTGTCAACGTGTGCACGGCATGTGTGCGTGTCAACGTGTGCACGGCATGTGTGCGTGTCAACGTGTGCACGGCATGTGTGTCTGGGGGTCTTTTAAAACCTGTGTTCCCAACTGGCACGTGGACGCGGCACGCTTTCGGTTCATGCGTGTCAAAACGCGCGCTCAGGCTTTCACAAAAAAAACAGCGATCCGAGTCGTATTTAGCACATGCGACGCCTTCAAGTACTAATTTTTGGACCCCGCCGGTCAAAGTGACTGGCATGTACGCCGGTACGCCCCTGAGACGCGCTGAAAATTCCAACATGTTGGAACTTCCATTTCGCCGCGTTTCCATACGCATGACGCCCAAAAAACCAGCAAAAAAATCGCACAAACGCATTGTTTCACGCGTACCATATTTTTCCCAAATGCAAGTCTCACCTTTTAACAGTATACTTGAAAAACAAAGAAGGCGATGGTGCGACTTACAATCCAGTGTGAATTCATACTCATATGAATGTATAGATAAAATTAATTTTGTTTCAGACCTAAAACTGGGTTGCAACTTATAATCAAGTCTGACTTATAAAAGTGTGACTTATAATCAAGTGTGACTTATAATCAAGTGTGACTTATAATCAAGTACGACTTATGATCAAGTGTGGCTTATAATCAAGTGCGACTTATAATCAAGTGCGACTGATAATCAAGTGCGACTGATAATCAAGTGTGACTTATAATCAAGTGTGACTTATAATCAAGTGTGATTTATAATCAAGTGCGACTGATAATCAAGTGTGACTTATAATCAAGTGTGACTTATAATCAAGTGTGACTTATAATCAAGTGTGATTTATAATCAAGTGTGACTTATAATCAAGTGTGACTTATAATCAAGTGTGACTTATAATCAAGTGTGACTTATAATCAAGTGGGACTTATAATCAAGTGTGATTTATATTCAAGTGTGATTTATAATCAAGTGTGACTTATAATCAAGTGGGACTTATAATCAAGTGTGATTTATAATCAAGTGTGACTTATAATCAAGTGTGACTTATAATCAAGTGCGACTTATAATCAAGTGTGACTTATAATCAAGTGTGATTTATAATCAAGTGGGACTTATAATCAAGCGCGACTTATATTCAAGCGCGACTTATAATCAAGCGCAACTTATAATCAAGCGCAACTTATAATCAAGCGCGACTTACAATCAAGTGACTTATAATCAAGTGTGACTTATAATCAAGTGTGACTTATAATCAAGTGTGACTTATAATTAGGGCTCAAACGGTCACGGTTTTACCCCTAACGGTTAACTGCTAAGCTAACGATCGGTTAACCGGTTATAACCTATAAGCCACGGCAATCCTGCGGACTCTTTTTTAACCGTATACAGGTCGTCCCCCGTTAATACGAGTCCGGTTAGTACATAAACCCCGTTAGTACATAAGAAATCTCAAGTCCCGGACGAAACGTGATGACTTCCATACAAATTATGTCGGTTAGTATATAATTCGTTAGTACATAAACCCCGTTAGTACATAACATTTCTCCGTACCCGCAAGCCACCTACCTCAATAGTACATAATTTTGTTGGTCTTTTGGCCTTCCAGTGGAGGCACATCGTGTTCTGGTTTCTACTTGTGGATGCGATTAGCTCAGAAATC